GCAGGCTCTGCGCTCAGCGGGGAGTCTGCTTGAGATTCTCTCCCTCTGCCCCTCTCCCTGCTTGCTTTCTCTCTGTCTCTCTCTCTCTCAAAATAAATAAATCCTTAAAAAAAAATAAAACTACAACTTCTGGCGGAGGTAGTGATCTTTGGGTTATTCATACTTAAATATGAACTACTTTAATCAGCTACTGTCCTTCTATGTGTCACTCAGCTGAAGAAATTCCCCTGGTAAAATGCAAACACACACGGTGAGGGAGGTGGACCAGAAGGGAACAGGGCAGACGCCAAGGTATTTCGGAGTGTTTTCTAAGGCAGACCTTTCACCCAGCGAAGAAAGAAAAAGGATATTTTTCCCCATCTCTCTTCTTTCTCTTCCAAACAACAAACATAACTACAAATGAAAGGTAACATGAGGGATTGTTACAGTGAGAGAACTCTTCTATGTCTTGACTGTGGAGGTGGTGGTTACAGGAATAGATAACATGTGATACAACCGCATAAAATTAACACCCATGTGCACACACACAAGCATGTGTAATGTAAAACTCATGAAATCCGAATGAAGTGGGTGGATTGTATCAACATCAGTCTCCTGGTTGTGCTTGGCAGGATGTTACATGGGTGAGGGATAAATGGGAGTGCTCTGTATTATTTCTTACAATTGCATGTGAATCTACCATAATGTTAAAGTACATAAAGGTTTTAAAAACAAATTGACCAAGGGAGGTGAACAATGAGAGACTATGGACTCTGAAAAACAATCTGAAGGGTTTGAAGAGGTGGGGGGGTGGGAGGTTGGGGGAACCAGGTGGTGGGTATTAGAGAGGGCACAGATTGCATGGAGCATTGGGTGTGGTACAAAAAACAATGAATACTGTTATGCTGAAAATAAATTTTTAAAAAGATTAAAAAAATAAATAAAAATTTTTAAAAAAGAAAAAGAAAAAAAAAACAAATTGACCAGGACAGTGTTTTCTTATAAAAGCTGGCTGGCAGAGGGGTGAGGAGATGATTCCACCTGATCTGGAAAAGTTAGGTCAGAAATGATTGTCATCATAGTGGTTTAAAGCAGATTTCAGCTGTGAAAACAAGTATAAGGGCCATTATTGTTGGAATTTTTTTTTTCTGTGTTAATGTTGTCTACAGTAAGGGGATTGTAAGAACAGATGTACCCTCATCACTGGAAGTCCTCAACATGTGTGGATAGAAAACAATTGGATGTTTGAAATTAATAGACCTAATAATGCCTTCTTATGTATCTGCCCTTAAAGGTGCCAAAGCTCACACACAGAATTTATTCTTATAATCTTCTGGAAGGACAAGGCTACTCTTCTCAATCTCTCTCTCTCTCTCTCTCTTTCTCTCTCTCTCTCTGTCTCCCCCTCCCTTTCTTTTTCTCCAAACCACCCACCCATCGCTTTGTTGACAGGTGACAATCTTGACTTAAATCCAATGCTCCCTTGAAGGGTACTGCAGCAAAAGAAATTAATGATCCTTAAAATGTTATTTTACAGCAAACAATTCTTCGAAGAATTTGTCACATATTGCCAGCATTATTCTTTTGCACATTCTCATTTTTTATGCTATGTATTCTACTAGTTTTGTTTTTAGGTGACCAGAAGAAATTATATCATTTTAAAAACTTGGATTTTATTTGAAAATGCCTTTTCAGGTACTCAGTTTTATGGGAAGATAAAGACCATCGCCTTTAAAACTTCAGTTTTCAAAGTTTCATCTCCATTATTCACTGAAATTATTGGAGAAATTTGAGTAGCCATGTAGCACTCAATTTTTATTAGGAATATGAACTGATTTTTCCAACTGTGATAACCTTGTCATCATGTACAGGTTGGTGTTCATTGAAATTTACCTAGTACTGTGCTTAATTGGCGTCCTCTTTTGTCTTTTGACAAAGGCTATGAAGTTCGTTGTCAATACAGTTTAAAGATACGATAATGAATTTCTAATTCATCAAATAGTTTGCACCTGAGAGTCTTTATTCTCTCCTCTTATCTTTGATTTATGATGATAGAATTTAACATTCCAGACCCTGGATTTGTTTTTATAACATATGTTTGTCTGGGGCTATTCGGTCAAGTATAGTGGATCCCTCAGATCTGCACTGTATTTTCTCACTTGAAGTATTCTTTGTAAAAAAGACTCCACTATTTGTCTGATCATTCAAATTGATTACTGTTTGTTCATTTGTAAATTATACCCTACCTACTTTAATTAAAAAGCAGGTAAGATAGCTTACATTAGAGCAATATGAAACAACTTTATTTTCTACCCAATTAGTAATATCAAGTTGTTTTTCCACTTTTATGAGTTTTCCCCTTGTATTTTAATAACGTCCTTTCTACTCCTCTTAGATTAGACTAGAGGATTCCTCAGTCTGCTGAATTTTGCCTCGTGTTCTCCTTGTGATTCCCCCGTGTGTGTGTTTACTCTCTCCCACTCAAGCTCACGCTCCTGAGGAGCAGAGGTCCTGTCTGATTGAGATGGCTTCTCTGTGGCACTTTGTAGGTCTTCAGTTTGGATTTCATGTCATTCATTGTTTCTCTACTGGATCAGTAATGAACTAAATTCTTCCTACTGCCTATATAGTTCCTATTTTTAGTTAAAATGTGTGAGCTGACATATGAACCCTCTCAAGCCGCAAATTAAGATGTGTTGCCTTTCCTTTGAGGAGGGAAGCCCCTACGAGGAGCTGTTCACTAATGACTGGCTCACAGACTCCCAAACAATCTTGTCCTGTGGCTTACGTAGCTTACGTAGCTCTCTATGTCATCTTCTAGTGGCCTCACAACTCCTCTCAGAAGCAGGTTTTCTTTTTCATTTCTGAGGAAGTCTTCTCCAAGAGCTTCCCTGGACCAAATGTGTGAAATAACTAGGACTTGAATCCAAATCTTCTTACTCTGAGTTTAGTGTTCTTTCCAGTAGACCAGGCTTCTGTGGAGTCAAGCCTGAGACCAAAACCAAAAGCCCAGACTGAGTTCGGTTTTGCCCCTGCTCCTTCGCACACTTGTGTGGGATAGGAGCTATCAGCCCTGTAGTATTTGCCTGTAATTTCTTGGGTACCTGCCCTCCTGTCCATAGGGTGAAGAGTCATACCCCTAAGATAATGGGTGCCTGCAAATACTTCCTGTACTGCTTCAAGTGGCCAGGGACGTGGGAGAGTATGCAGGATAAGTATGGTATAAGCCCTGGGGAATCCTGCCTTCGGTCATCGCTAATTCACACAATGCACCAACCCAAACCTCTGTACCACAGGACTGTAAATGCCTTCAGGGCTGCAAGCATGTTCCCTTCTATTTAAGATTTCTTAGGGTCTAACATAGCACCTGGTACACAGTAACAGTATTTGCTGAGTAAACAAATTGTTTTTGACAGGAAACATAATAATATTCAATCTTAAAGTTCTAGAATGTCGTATAAAGATGTGTGAACCAAAAAAGACACTAGACGGTCTCTTTCTAAATATTTTGATATTTGGATTCAATAAGGTCTCTTAAAATTCACAAAATTCATGAATTCTGCCCCTTCACTCGGAAAGGTCTATGTCAAGTTACATCATATTTAATGTAGGTGTTGTCAGTTATGCAAGACAAAGTGAAGAGAGTATTCTCAGTTTTATACAAAGCATATTAAGAGGCTTAAAAATAAGAATCAAAATTTTGAACTTTGCGGGTTTAACAGGAATTAAAACCCTGGGTCAATATGTATCAGTAACTTTTGATACCAGCGTTCCAACAAGCACTTATAAACCGCACACACACACACACACACACACGCAAAATTTATGGGGTACACGGGCACCTGGGTGGCTTAGTGGGTTAAAGCCTCTGCCTTGGGCTCAGGTCATGATCTCAGGGTCCTGGGATCGAGCCCTGCATCGGGCTCTCTGCTCAGCGGGGAGCCTGCTTCCTCCTCTCTCCCTGCCTGCCTCTCTGCCTACTTGTGATCTCTGTCAAATAAATAAATAAAATCCTTAAAGAAAAAAAAAATTAAGGTATCATGATGGCCTCATTGAAATTATTTCCAAACATTAACCTTAAGAAAGTAAAGTCAAATACCAACACTGCCTCTAATACTTTAGTCTTCAAAGCTGCCTAATTCAGGCAGTAGCACAGCGCATATTCACGTCCTCCCTCACCCCGGCTCTCTCTCCAAATGCTGTCAAATGACTTTCACTAATTCTGTCTTAGAAAATGTGCAAAAAGGATTTCCATAGAGGTCTTTGGAGATTTCCTGTGTCCTCATGTGTGTAATAGGTTGGGTCAAGTAACAATGAAGGAAGAAGAAAGAAAAGGAATTTTCTTTTACATATTTTCCTCCTCCTGGCCACTGAAAGAGAAAACGAATAAAAAGGGAAATTATACCATAAAGATGGTGTAAGTGTTAAATTAAATTAAGATCATATGTTTGGCGGTGGCAGCCATAATCTTTTGATTATTGAAGAGATTGTTGGTAATGAAGTACATTTTTAAGAAATATTTTTAGTGTATACCGAATACATGCACAAACTGTGAGATATGCATCTAATAAAATGATAGATTTAGAAACTGCCTAGCACCTAAATTCACGCTTTTCAAAACAGCTATTTATAGAAAGAAAAGTGATATGTAAGCTACCCAAGTAGAATATTATAATCTGCTTTCTATTACCTTAGATAATAGTACCATATTTTAAAATAATGTTGTAAACCATTCAATTATTTATTCACACCTAAGTTCTATAAATTGGAAGATTTGGGATTGTGCAAGAAAAGAATTATTTTTACAAAAGTAAGACCTCACTGTCATGGCTTAAAGACATTGCTGTGAAACAAGTTATGCTATAGATAAAAATAAACCAAACCAACATGAATTTTTAATAAAAAAATATTTTATGGAGACATTAAAAACAACTATTAATTTTCAGCTTTTCTGTTATGAAATGAAACATCAGTGTATTTGGCCGTGCTGTATATTTAATATGTATTTCTTTTCCTGATAGGTCCTTAACACTTGCAGTAAAATCTCCACAGACCTGGATGATGATCTCAGCCTGGGGAGAGCCTATGAAGCAATAGCCAAGGTCCTGCAGAGGTAAGTTAGCACATCCTTGTCTTGCTGTCACTGTGAATTCACTCAGCTGTGAAAGACTTAAATTGTTTGAGGTCTGTCGCTTTCCATTACTGCCTGCTTAAATTTTAAGCAGTGCCCTTCTTAAGTGACCCTTTCATCGTAAGTTATTTTAAACCAATGTGGCATTTTAAAATATGCACCTAAACTCTTCTTTGTCTGTGCCTCCTTTGTACTGTTTTATTTTTGATTTTCTGTAAGTTTAGTGAGAACCTTGAATGAAAGGGAAAAATCAGGTCACATCTCATAGGTTAAAAAAGCAGAGAGCACAGAAATATATAGTACGCTTCAGTAACTGTAGCTCACCATAACCTTTCCGGATCTCTTCTTGGAGGAAACTTTTCATTTATGCTTCAGTCTTGCTTCTTCCATGAAGACATCCTTCCTTCGAGTGTACATATCTGGATAAACAACTGAATGCGAGAATGGTATCCCCTCTATTTCATTTAAAACAGAAAATTAATAAAAATATAGCTGAACAACAGATTTTCCCATGGAAAACATATTTACCCTTTACTCGTATTGTGATCATTGTGTATTCCATTTAATTATTGCATTGTGTTGCAACGTTATTTAATTCAAGGTAAAATAAGAAAAGTTATCAAAATTGTTACCAAAAAAATTAAAAAGTTATCAAAAGTTATCAGAATTAATTAAGAAAAGTTATCAAAATTGGTTTTTGTATGTTATCTTATACTGAAGATATGGCTTTTTAATAATGGTTGTGTGCTGGTAGTAGTAGTAGTTAGTAGTGATAAGAAGAAAAAGAACAGATAAAGAGTGTGTCAAGTTCTAATTCCTGTATTTCAACTTGTAAACACATACAAAGAAGTGTTTTAAAAGATAAAATAGTAAAAAAAAAAAAATAAAATTGTTATTTAAAAGGCATTTAAAAGATTAAATGCCTAGTGAACTGAAAGTACATCATCATTATATAATTACCACTGCCAATATAATAATCATTAATAAATAAATAATTAAATATTAAAATACCCATGCCAACAAAATGAAAGGTCCCTACAAAATACCAAATAAAAGACAATGCTGTCATCGCTGGAAGTGGTTAGGGAGAGAGATATATCTATAAGGAAAGTAAGGGTATTTACTCCAGGAAGGCAGGGTCAGCCATGACCAAGCAAGCGACCTGTGAGTGTTGTGGTTCTTCCAAGTAGAGATTGGTAACAAACCTCTGGAAAATCAACCCAGCTATCCCTTAAACTTTTACTTTCCATGTAACAACTGGAAGGAAGCAGATGTTTGAACACAAAGGAGAGATTTATAAGTTTTCAATTTAATGTCTATTTGGAACACCCCAACTCTGTGCCCTTTGATGCAGCTCATTTTGATTTTTAAATTACTTGACTCTGTTGTTAACATGGCTCAGAATCAGTAGAAAATGGTTGGAGTATTTGCCTTGCTTTGTAGTAGCAGACCTGGACTAAGCCTGTACAGTTAAATAAATGCATCCCTTAACATGTTTACAAAATAATTTTTACAAAATGACATGTGTTCCAGGATGACTAAAGAGAAAACTCCAGGGGAAAATATTTTCTTTTATAAACATATCTTGAGCACTTACTGTGTCATAAGGGTTGGAATGCCACTTTGGTTACTGACAGTTTTTATTTCTTAAAGGTCTAGATGCATGAGATTATCTTAAAATAATTCTCAGCTGTTAAAGACAAGTGTCTCTCTTGGAATATTTTAATCTCCACTCAAGGATTGGAATTCCTGGCTTATGTGATAAAAGCTGAGAGAGTGGAACAATTATCTGCTAAATCATGGCAATAATAACAGACAGGCAATTTAATGTTTTCATTTGGCTGCTGAAGTGTTATTTGGGGCTTAGGTGTGGCAAAGGATACAGCTATATTTGATATATCATAAAGTAGTATGAGTTTTTGGCAGAAATGGGAACAATTCCATTCCAGCAGTCTAGTAACCTGTCTTGGGGCAAACATGTAATAAATAGGCAGGAAGATTGACCCCCCCACCTCACTTTTATACCCAATGAAACCAATTGCACTTATAAGAATGCCCATCTACTAAGTACCAAATGAAGCCATCAATGATTTTTGTATGGTAGACCTGGGTTCTTAGTTTTATAATGTTATGTAATACACAAGAGAGTACAGGAGATGCTTCTTCGGGACCATAGGGAAGAAGTACCCCAGAGACACTACAAGCTTTCCAGTGCAAATCTACCATTTTGCAGCATGGTTACTGGTATGGGGTAGCATCCAGGGGACTGTAAGCCACAGCATATTCTTTTACCATTTGTGCAAAATAACTCAAGAGACAGATGTTTCAAAAACAAATGCTCTCTTCAGGTAGACAACACACCCTAGTTATCTAAGAAGACTTAATCAACCAAATCCACTGATTACTAAAAATGCATTGATACAAATTTTGTGGTCATTTAAAAAAAATTAACTTTAAGGGCTTGGTGTTCTTTGATATGTGCGCACACACACACACACACACACACACACACATACACACACACCTTTCAAAGTCCTAAACTGCCCTCAGATTAGCAGCAACATTCAAGAAATGACGCACAACCAAAATAGAGGAAATTATGGGAGAGGCGGCAGAGAAATAAATCAAGCCGCACATGAAGCTTTACATCTTCTCTAAATCTCTTTTTCCTAACCTGTGCAATTGGACAAGTTTCACTAATGGTAGCCCTATCTCTATAAATATATTTTATCTCTTTAAAGGAAATGGAAGAGGATAGCCATGTCTAGCATAAGTGTGTGTCTAAGGCTATCAGCTGAGCATGCATGAAAGGTGAATAATCTCTAAGGCTAGAAGCGTCTAAAATGGTTATAAGAATTTATACTAAGCCTTCAATTGAAAAACACACCGTATTCCCTCAAGACTAAGGACTTGGTAATACAGAGTTGTCCATTTGGTAATGCTGGACCCAGCCATGCCATTAGAGTTATTGATGAAGCTTTTAATAGTGAACAGTGTTTGTTATTTTTGCCATTGTTCTGAATAATATTAATTGCACAAGGGGTTAAGGAGCATAACAGAAAATAAGCATTACAATATCTTTCCCCGCCCCACTTAGAATACTAGTGAAGAAAAGGGGGTCGCTAGTCTAAAATGATAAAAATTGTCTATGACACAGCTATAAAAGCCAGAATTATGGTCCATAAAACAAAAAGAGAGTGAGTTGAGAAATTACCAAGTAAATATTATTATTAACACAGACAGACAATTTTAGTAAATACAGAGAGCAAAATTCCTCAGTTTTCTTTACGGCATTTTTTTTTTTTTGCCTCATTTACTGAAATAACTCATTTTACTGAAATACCAAGACTCTGTGAATAATTAGGATGACTTTTGAAAAGAATCTAGGGGGAAAAATCACAAAAATGAGAATTGGTCAAGACACACTGGTCACAACTAGCCTATCTCTGGGTTTATTCCATACTCATTGTAAATTTTCTTGCAAACTCAGGTTAAATTATTCCCTAGAAAACTTTCCACAGTGGAGATCTTTCAATCAATCAGTACAAAGTTTCAAGTGTGAAAATTACCTTTCTGTTATAGCTGAAAATTAATTTCTTTTTGCTTGAGAGAAATGACATGCCCTAGTAATTTTCATATATTCTTTAAAATGGAATATCTGGGCTTTGATGCAAAATTTCCTAAAAATGACACCCCAAAAATACATCAAAACATTTCTATTAATTCATGAAATTAAGAATAGCTTTTTACATTTTCTCCTGTCACTGATTCCATTTGCCTTATTACTTTCATCTGTGGCCCACAAACTTGGTGGCACAATCAACAATCCCCTTAGTGGCTGTTTCATCTCTGCTCTATTTGATTTCTTCTCTCTGAGTAAATGATTAAGTTTTCATGCATCGGTTCAACCAAAATCTATGTTCACTCAACCACATCCTTTATTGATTACTTCTACTGCAAACAGTAGGCCAAGTGTGATATACATAATTGGACAGTTGTCAGGGGATGTGGGTGTTAACAGTCCTGTTTTCCCAGTTGGAAACTGGAATCACCTTGATACACAAATATTCTGCACTGTTTCATTCTCATCCTTTGGACCGAGGAGTCCTGTTCCTCAGAATATATGTTTTTAACTCTCTGAGGTCTGGTTGAATGAATTTAATGATTATACCATATAATATGCTGTTCAAGTTGCACCTGTGCACTGCATATAGAAAACTGGAATTAATATTTGTCTAACATTTTAACCTTGTCCTTTAACTTAGACAAATAATCTGTAGCTCTTCTACAAGGAAATATTTGATTCTTTCCCTTCTAAAGAGAGATTGGCTTCTAATTCTGTTGCCAACTTTGAAATTTGGAAATCCTTTAAGCAACACGTGATATGTACATCTCATATGCTGTAGTAACAATTTTTGTTGGCCATGGAGCTAAACCTTCATTGAGTGGAGTATATACTTTGTACTAGAAAGATTTTTTTCTCTAGCATTATTTGTTAGAGCAAGTTCCAAATAATTTAAGATATTTTTTTGGAAATCTATCACTACTTTGGGAGAAAAACAATGGGACTCACCCACCAGTAGTTTTGTTTATACTATTTTGTATTTCTTGCTCACTGAACTCAGTTTTTTGTTTGTGTATGTTGTAATTTAACAATTCTCAGCAGGCCGAACCTAATCCAAAATGTACTTCCATCAAAAATACATTAGCTTTTAGGAACATGAACATAAATAACCTTCAGTGAGTCCATTTTAGCTAAACAAAAATAATAATTTTTCCCTGAGGTTTAAAAGTGATATGCAAAGAAGTCTCTCCTTTATTTTTTCTTTTATCAACTTTTTTTTAATTGAATATTACAGTCCAAGAAAGAGCTTGGAGAGTTCACATCAATTTGATAAAACATTTTTAGTCCTAGAAACACAAGTTTGCTCAAAATTCTAAATAGTGTGCTATTTTATTAATAATTTTATAATCTCCAGCTC